TCTACATTTTCAAATATATTGATTTCAATTACACACAGAATACAAAGTGTACAGTGCTCACTTTATATTTATTTTTGATTACAAATATTTGTACTCTAAAAAACAAAAGAAATAGTATTTTTCAATTTACCTCATACAAGTACTGTAGTGCAATCTCTTTATCATGAAAGTTGAATTTACAAATGTAGAATTATGTACAAAAAATAACAGCATTCAAAAATAAAACAATGTAAAACTTTAGAGCTTACAAGTCCACTCGGTCCTACTTCAGCCAATCACTCAGACAAACAAGTTTGCCCGCTTCTTATTTACAATGTCACCTGAAAGTGAGAACAGGTATTCTCATGGCACTGTTGTAGCCGGCGTCGCAAGATATTATATGCCAGATGCGCTAAAGATTCATATGTTTCTTCAGGCTTCAACCGCCATTCTAGAGGACGTGCTTCCATGCTGATGACGGGTTCTGCTTGATAATGATCCAAAGCAGAGCAGACCGATGCATGTTCATTTTCATTATCAACCTGTGGAACTCGTTGCCAGGGGATGTTGTGAAGGCCAAAAGTATAACTGGGTTCAAAAAAGAACTAGATAAGTTCCTGGAGGATAGGGCCATCGGTGGCTTTTAGCCAAGATGGTCAGGGATGTAACTCCACGTTCTGGGTGTCCCTAAGCCTCTGACTGCCAGAAGCTGGGACTGGATGATGCGGGATGGATCACTTGATAAATTGCCCAGTTCAGTTCATTTCCTCTGAAGAGTTTGGCACCAGCCGCTGTCAGAAGACAGGACACTGGGCTATATGGACCATTGGACTGATCCTATGGCCATTATGTTCTTATGTTACCCTCGAGATATGATTCCCCAGCCCCATAGATATCACTGCCAAGGACTGATCCTGAGAGTCAGCCTAAATTCCCTTCTTGTTCATTCTATCCCATTCCTCCTAATTCCCCTCCCACTTTGTGTATCCTCCTTGCTAATCCCTCTCTTTCCTGGGCTTCACACCCTTCTGATATTTGCAGACTTGCATGTACTGCGCAGGGAGCCCGGCAGGAGCACTAGATGGGGGGGAGCTCTTAGTTACTCTAGTCCCACCATCTCCCAGAAGGAGGCGCTGTAGGGAGCAGCACAAGAGAACTAGCTGTGTGGCAGCTCCCAGCTGCTCCACCCCTGGCCTTTCCTAGCAGGGGGCACTGTGGGGAGCAGGGCAGGAGTGCTGGCTGTGGGGGGAGCTCCCAGCTACTCCGGCCTCAGCCTGTGCCAGCAGGGGGTGCTGTAGGGCATAGGACTGGAGCGCTGGCTATCTGTGAGCTCCCAGCTGCTTCAGTCCACGGTGTGCCAATCAGTGGGGTATGGAGCGTGCCCCTCCTGTCTATGCTCCAATATTATCCTCCCTCTTTGTTTCAGGTCGATATTCTCCAGAGAAGGCAGGGAAATGGGCCTATCGCTCCGCGCCCATCTACTCGCTCGCCTCGCGTACGAAGGAGTTTGCGAATGACCAGACTCCAGGTAGGAGAGCCCATGGGGCTGAGCTCTGACCAAGCTCCTGCTTCCCCCGCCCCGCTGCACCACTGGCCAAACCCCTCAAGGTTCCCAGGCACAAATCAGTGCCCGATGGCTCAGACGTTTGTCTGGATTTGTCCCCATTCTCCCCTTCCCGTTCCCGGAAGCCCTGGCTCCAGCACGTGCCCATCTCCATGCCCAGAGACCCTAGAGCCAGTTCACTGCTTTTCCAGCCTCTTAGCCAAAGCAGGTGCTACTGGGCAGGGTGGCAAGAGACTGTGAGGGGGGGATCAACCCACCGGTTCGGGATGCGAGTGGACCCCGGATCCTGGCAACTGCTACTGAATGCTGAACAGAGGCCAGAGCCGCTGAAGGAGACGATTCTGCCAAGCCTATTGCAGGATGGGCACCGGATCTGTTTGTGATCACCCCTCACCCCCCGATTGCTCAGCTTCTCCCTAGCACACTTCTGCACTGCGATACCCTCCGGGAGAGGGGCCTGGTTCAGGGCTGTGAACGGTACAGCGGAGGGATAATGATCGTTCCCCACCCACGGCCCTGCGCTCCCCCAGTTGCTCATGGGGGGCAGTGCAATCATAAAATAACCATCTAATAGCAGCTTCCCCCACCTGGAACGTCCTGCCTGGGGACAGTGTGGGAGGGGGCAGCTTCCAGTCCTAAAGGGAAGAGAGGTGAGAACCAATGCACCTTTCAGTGGGGAGACCTGGACTTGAGGGGCAGCAACTCAACTCCCTAGTGCCCTCGCCAGGGCCAGCTGGAGCGCAATGAACGACACATATGTGGGGGGTGTCCTCGACAGCTACAGGGACTGAGATCCCACTCGCAGCCCTGGTGGTGAGGGGATGGGACCCAGCAGCACCTCAGAGGGGAGTATTTACCTTCCTGGGCCCTGTGCGCTCGGCTGGGCGCACCAGAATCCAAGCCCTTGGCGAAGGAGCGCCAGGCCGGGATTTAGGGTGGGGATCAGGGTCTGGCGTCAGTTGGGAGTTTCCCCGCTGACGTCACTGGAAAGGGGGGAGTCACCCTGCTCCCAGAGCCGTGCACAGGCCCAGCTCTCTGCTGGGGACTCCCTTGCTCTGGACGCCCTTCCCCTGATGCCAGCGCAAAGCTCGCCCTGCTAGGAGAGCGGAGACGGGCTGGCTGCGGAGGCTTGTGAGGGGGTGTTTCAGATGACTAAGGCCCAGGTGGATGGGGCTCTCGGAGCAGGGGGTCATGCCGATTCATGGGTAGAGATTGTTCCTGCCCCTCCAGGAGCAACAGGCAGGCCTGCTGGGTCCTTAGTCCCATAGGCTTTGGTGCTGCAGCTGATCGAGTCCAGGGTCCCCATCCCGGGAGGTCCCCGGCAACCGGGGGAAACGAACCTAAGTGGCGCTGCCACCCCTTGCACCGAGTCACAGCCATTGGCTCATATGCGGCTCGCCTGCCCCTCTGTCATGGCAGAGCAGCCGCTGTGCCAAGCCTGAGTGCCGGGGGGCGGGCGACAGCAATGGGAGAGAGCAGGGCTGGCCTCGCCCAGGATGGGAGTGAAGTGCTGCCACAGCCTCACAGCTACCATTGCCCCGTCCCCTCCCCCGCCCCCTGCCCCTCCTCAGTGTCGCCTCACACCTCCCTCCATCCCACCCTATCTCCTTCTGCCCTCCCCCCGAGCCCTGCCCCTCCCCAGTCTCACCTACTCCTGCCCTCCCCACCCCTCCCCATTCCCTTCTGCCCTCACCCCCACTGAGTCCTGCCCCTCCCTTTTCACTGTATTTTAATTTTATTTAATTTAATTATTAATAATAATAAATTATTATTATTAATTAGTGTGGGTTTTAGGCTTGCCAATTTGTTTCATTAGAAGATAAAAGTTTTTGTTTTGAATTAGGCTTTACAGAATTTACAAAGGACCCTTGAGGGTATGACAGGAAGCTTCTACTGAGATAAATACAGCCTTAAAGACTTTTTATTAAAGTTAATGAAATAGTAAGTAAATGGTAAAATAATTAGAGTTACAAAGTTACAATTGCATTACTGCTATTTAAAAGATACATATGATAATATAGTATTATATGCTACAAAGCTCTGGTTAATATACTTACACCCTTCTTTGATAACCTGGTGGTAAGAGACACAGGACCAGCCTTGCACTTTAGGTTTTTTAATTTTTGAGTGAGGGATGTGGGGCTTAGGAAAAGCTAATGCTAAGAGCTATTAAAACTAAATTAGGGTTTACCTGACTAACTTAAAATGAAAATTAAAACCTGATAAACAAACTAAGAATAAAACTTAGGGAAACCAAGCTTAGCCTAGTTTTTTTGAAACTTAAAGTTTAAGAAGAACAAGTATAGCCTACTAATAGTAGTAGTTATTGTAGATAGATAGAATAGATAGAGCTAGAGTAGAAATACAATGTAAATGAGAATGATAGAGTGGAGTGCTTTAGCGAGGTGTGTTACCTCTTTTATAAGGCAC